AATTGAAATAATGAGCTAATTTCAAATATTTATAAATTAGTGCCCACTCAATTTGACAAAGCCCTATGTAGCATCAAAATCATACTATAATAATGCTAATAAATTTCCAACCTAAGTATGGAACCATTCTATTCCATATCCCAACTTTTTTTAGTCAATACACATTTGCATAGTATGTGAGAAGAGAATTGTCTAGTTCATAGTATTGTTGGGATGTGTGAAATTTATTAGTACATATCTCATTTTAAGATTTGAGCTATTTATATTTAATTTTATGAGTATATTATTTATAAAAGAAAATAAATTGATTCAATATTTATAACTACATAGATATTATTTTTTTTTTCCAGATAAATGTGATAGCTAAAATTATCATTATCAATTTGATTTTTTTTATAAATGAATTACAAATAAAATAAGCACTTTAGATCATTAAATTAGACTAGTAATAGATTTTATGAGCACTTGCGAGCCAAAAAAAATCTTTTCCCTTTCTTATATTTTCATTGCGAATAAAACACTACTTTCACACCATATTGAGTTAGACACCTTACTTCTAAATAAATAGGCACACCAATAATTCAAGGGTCATGCTAATGACATCAACATTGATTACTTTCTTCTTCTTTTTTAATATCTTTTTTGTTTATTTTAATTACGGGTCAATGTAGACCACTGACACTTCGGTTCATGAGCGTGATCTTAGCTCTGAAATTCAAAACAAATAAAATCAAGAAATCGATATTAATTTTTTAAAGCATCACCTGAATTCTTGAAGAAAACCTATGGATGTTAATTCAGAAAATCTGTGGATGATCCACGCAATGAACATGATGAAATTGGAAGAGCTTAGACCCATACCAACCCCGTTTTTTAAATGGCAAGCTTAATCATCCTTATCAGTTTCAACTTTTGTGATTTATTTGTTTTTAAAAAATTAATAGATATGATGGCAAAATAGTTATTTCACTATGTTTGAATTTTTATTAACTATTAAAAATTTATTAGTTAACGCAACATAAAATTTTAATTTTGTCTTCATCGTAGAATCAACTTTATTTTCTTTAATCGACAAAAGAAGCTACCACTTAAGTGTAGAATATTTTAAAATTCAAACTTCACATCATCATAATGCTTGAATTATTGGTGATATATTAATCTTATAAAAGGATGGTCTTCTAAGAAATATATTAAATATCTTAAATTTTGGAGACTATTGAATTTTAACCAGTATAATTCATTTAAAGTGAATAAAAAACTTGGGCAACTGATGATGCAGGAAAGCAAATAGAAACAAAATCATATCATTCTTACTTTTTGGTCTTAATAATAATAAATAAATAAAATAAAAAAATGGCTAAATTAAGTAGCTTAAAAAACAGAGGATAAATTTTATTTTACACCCTTAAATTTTATATCTAATTTCACTTTATTTCTTAACTTTTTAATTATCTTAGTCTGTCATATTTTGAGTCAAGTTGTATTAGAACTATTTGTATAATATTGTTTTGAAAACTAACAGAAAATAGCTAGCTTTAGCACTTCTATACTTTAACCAAAATTTCATTTTTGTAACTCGTTAATTTTTGAAATGACATTATAAACTGAACCTAATTATAACTTGATTCAAAATTAAGAAATTTGACTGAAACAACTAAAAAGTTCCAAGACAAATCGAGATTGAATATAAAAATACAAAAAAAGTTTGAAATCCCAAAAATCACTTAAATACATAATGATGTGGCAGGTTAAATATCCAACAACTCTTTTACTATAGCCTATTTTGGAAAACAAGAAAAAAATTATTTTTTTGATTTTTTTTTTAAAAATATATAAAAATAAAAAAGTGATATGACTCAAAAAAGATTAAAAAAAATGTATTCATATAACAAACCCCGAACAAAAAATACAATTCAATACAATCCTTTATAAGGAGATAATCAAAATTTGTCTCTAGCCGGGTTTGATCCCTAACCTCAAATATTTATTTGCTTTCCATAGTTGCATCTTAGTCTTCGTTTGTCATTGACTTTTGTATTAGATTAAGTGTGACCACACCATAATGTGATGTGCCTCTCCATACTGAATCAAATCTTGATATAGGTGATCTGGAAACCTTCCCGCAAGGTAATTGAATGATCTGGGAACAAAAATAGTGTGTTTGAATTTGAACACTAAAAGACACAATGCTTCACATCATATTTGAAGCATTGTGATCATTGCCAAACAAGTGGTAACTCTTAGTAATGGTGGCCAAGATACTTATAAATAGTTGACATATTGGGTTTACTGAATTGCATTGAAAATCAACATACATTCACACCATGTTTTGTCTCTGGATTATCAATTCCATTTTGCGTGATAAATATCCTCGCGGGATCACCGATCACTTAGTCATTGATTGTTCATCTTTCAGTTTTGTAGTTGGCTTTTTTGTATTGTGACTTTTTTAACCTTGTTTAATTTGACTTTTTGACTTTTATATAAGAAAAAATATAATAATTATGATTTAAATGTGATATTTTATTTTAATAACTTAAATAACCAATTTTATCTTTTTATACTTTTTCTTAACCAAAAATCTAAAAGATGGTGTGCTTTTGTTATAGACAAGAAGTTTAGTACAGTGCCTGCTGAGTTAAAAAAAAAATAAATAAATAAATAATTTACAGTACTCCCGTACGTGAGTCATGACAATGATAATTTATGACTGTAACGTGACTGTCACAAATATATATACCGTAAATAATTTTTGTGCCTAGACTCATAGATAATTGGTACAGTTATGACAATGGTATCTTACTTTGCCTGATTGTGGAGTCCCCCCTTGATGATGATGAAGATTTTTTTTATCAAAAATTTCTATTTAATTGCCCCCTTTCCAATAAATAAAAATAAAACTAAAAATAAAAATTACCAAATCAATGTTCATTTAAAATCTATTTTCTAAATGCAAGTACTATCTTGTGGAGTTTTTTTTTAATCAAATTTATGTTCATTTAAAATTTATTTATTATATTTGAATAGTTTTTGACATAGGTGGGCCTATAGGAGCGTTTGGCCCATCACTTAAAGCCCAATATATAATTCAAACACCAAAGTCTAACAGTGCTGGAGCTTAACGTGACATTAAAAACCGATGACATCTAGACAGCTGTCAAGAGTAGAACCAGCCACATCGCCAGACAAAGATCCTGTAAAGTTATTACACCACACATCAGCCATTAATGAGGTTCCCTGCAACATTTATTGCGATAACCCCTCCCCGTCGGAAATCTCCCAATCTAAATTTCTTGATTTTTTGATTTAAAAAAAAAAAAAAAACATTAGCATTTATTAACTTCTTCCAACCCCCAAGTCTTACCCTCATAATAACACTTTAATGCATTAAGAACAAACATAATAACACTTTAATGCATTAAGAACAAGCATAAAAAAATTTCTTAATGCATTCCAACAAGCATCTAAATTTCCTAATTTTTTGATGAAAAAAAAAATTAGCATTTATTAACTTCTCTCAACCCCCAAGTCTTATACTCATAATAACACTTTAATGCATTAAGAACAAGCATAAAAAAATTTCTTTGAAATCCAACAAATATGAATTCCTTGAAAAGTACCAATACATATGATAATTATCCTTCATAATAACACTTTAATGCATTAAGAGCAAGCATAAAAAAAAATTTCTTAAAAGTCCAACACATATGATTATTATCAAAATATTAAACTTTAATATAATATAAAAAAGGGAAAAAATAAAGACATTTAAAAAAAATTTAAAAATCGCAATTCACATATATAGATAATTGTAAATTTATTAAGAAAAATGAGATTTCTAAACCCCAAGCCTTGTGGGAGCTCCAATATCTCAATCTTAATTTTCTAAATTTTTGATTTAAAAAAAAAAACTCTGCATTTATTGATTTGGTCAAAATCCTCTGATCAGCATTTATTAACTTTTTTCAATCCACATGTCTGCATTTATTGATTTGGTCAAAATCTCCTGATCAGCATTTAAAATCTCCTCATATAAATAATTATAGATACAATCCATACATAGTTATTGCAGTACTTTTTTTCAACTTCTCCCATACACTATGGTTAGTGATAAGATTGTTAAATTATTTTGATAAAAAATCTTAAAAAACATAATTTATATATTAAAAAAATCTAAAATAAATATAAATATTTATAATTATCCCCGTGCATAGCACGGGTGATAGGCTAGTTCATACATAATAAAAAGGGAGTTTTTTTTGATAAATCTCCCTTCTAAGAGTTTTATTTTATTCAACCTATATTTTTTTTTACTATTACATTAGGTCCTATTTAAGGTAAGAAAACCAAAACACCCTCATCTCTCCTGCTCCCATTAATGTTGATAGTCATTATATGTTGGTAGTTCCCAAGACCATTCCTATTAGCCATATCTTCACTCCAAAAAAATGCATTAACTACACACCACTATTTAATGTTGATATATATTACACACAAAAAATTAAACATGATTCTTTCACTACAACAAAAAAGAGTTTTTACGGCGTGCATTGGATGCCGTAAAAACCCTTCTACGACGTGCAACGTAGCGTCATATTATAATCAGTCATGAAAAGTCATTCACTTTTAACGGCATGCCATAATATGTCGTTAAAAACTATTTAACAGTAGATTTTGTGCCTCGTTTTTATTTTTTCTACGACTACTTGTGCGCGCCGTTAATTGATGGGACTAATAACAACGCTGATTGAGCGCCGTAGAATATGTAATACAATGACTTGCTCAGCCTGCCGTAAATAAGTAGAACATACCACGACGTTCGTGGAATGCTGTGGAATATGTCATATAATGGCCTAATTTGCTTGCTGTAAAATGTACATTATTATTATTATTATTTTTAATTTAACAGGTTCTATTTTGACTTGTTTTGTATAATCTAACAAACATTACAAACAAGCTTCACAAAATATCAATCAACTATCAAAATATTGTTTCAAGCATAAAAAATAAACTACATCTATAAATTATAAACATTCAAAAATTGTCAATACATTCCAAACATTCAAAAATTAACCGTAAGTTCAAAACAACACAAAAAGACTACCCTTAGTTCTAAATTCAACAAAAAAGTTAAAAACCATCCAAAATTGTATCATATACAAGTTTGTAAACAGAATCCAAAACTATTTAAAGATTATAGAAATCTATTCATCGAAGTTCTCAAAAACTAGCCATCACTATCATCATCGTCACTGCTACTATTGGGCTCATACTCATCATCTGAACCATCTGTTAGGCAAATGCACCTCACATGTTACAATTCTGAGAAATTTAAGTTGACAATAGTCAAGATTTCTAGCCAAGAAGATAAACAATATGAGATGTAAACTGATAGAAAACACTTACCCTGACTATGTAAACTCCTACATAACAGAAGCAGTTTTCCTTACAAGTTGAGTGACAGGAATTGGTTCCTACACATTAACATCATCAGATCACATTGAAAGTTATAGTAGCTATAAAAGCTGTAATATTTTACAACAAAAAAATACATAGAGCATAAACTTGTGATTTCCCAAATGAATTGGCAGGGGTACTTCATGTATCCAAGGTCACATTGAGCAACATCTAAATAACATGAACCATTACTAACATATACTTGTCCATTTGAGAAACTACAAAAATGTGACCTTCAGGAAGAGCTACACACTAGTAAGAAGACAAAACTCACTGTACACGTGCACCACCTTCTTAGACCAACTTTTAACCAAACATTCTCATTCTTATCAAAAGTAATAAACAAAATCATGGAATGAGAAGTAGAAAAGGAAATTCCATTTTGAGAAGCCAATAAATAATATTATAGAAGCTAATTTGGCCTTCATTACACACTCAAATTTTGGTAGAAAAAATTAAAATGGAGGTTGAACCAAATATGTTGGTAATGGTCATTAAGAGCCTTTAATCCATCTAGAGAGACAAAGAAAGTTCCTAGATAGGGAAGAAAGAGGGTGAAAGATATTTCAAAATTTCGGAGATAAAATCATATTTTGATTTTGTCATTTTGATTTCACTTATCACCATATTGCAGTTCTCATGTCATACAGAGATCACTTATCACCTTTCTTTCTATATAATTCACGAATTTCATCGCAAGAGTTACAACAATCATCATCTGACTGCAAAATAGCAAGAATTGGGGAAAATCGATAAGCAACAGAAACAGAAACTTCTTTCACTGTATGGGTTGAGTTTGCACAACATAATATAATGAATGTCAAAACCAGTGTACAAAAATAAATAATAAATTTAACGGTAATGCTTAATAACTAAACTAGCAAGAGCAATTTACCTGGCTATATAATAAACCCAAGACTTTTGTCATAACTTGAACCAAGGAGGTAAATGTTAAAATTATGGAAATTTTCCAAGCCATATTGTTGTAAATATATATTTAGTTGTACCAAAGCCTGTGTCCTACATTTGACATGCCTATATCGTGTTGTATCTGTATCCTGTTTATATATATCTGTGTTTCTTAAGAATTATTCAAAATTGCTCCAAAGTAAGAAGATGTTTCTTCCAAATTAAATAGACACAGAAACGAACTGAATATGTCCAGCTCAATAATCCATGACTCTTATGAAAATTTCTTGTATAAGCTTCAGAATTAAATGTTCAACTTAGCAATGACACACAAGGCCATAGAAAAACATACCACTTCCGCACCATAGCATGAACCACAATATGTCTCATTGTGTTCAAGCCTCCCACCATGTCTTTGTAAAGGCTTTTCAATCTGTGCCATTGATAAAAAAGTCAGAAGAGAAGGAAAATCTGAGGGAAAAAACAGAATAGAACCAAAAAAAAAAAAAAAAAGACCAGAAAAATTGCTCACGGGGCAAAAAAGGGAGAGGATTTCATTATAAAACATCAAATTATGAATGATTTAGAGGCAGTCTGCTCCACAACAAAATCAACAAGGTTTGCAATAAACATAAGGCCTCCACCAAAACATGCCCCCTTTCTACCATTAGAACCTATTATGAGTTTTGAAATGGCATTCGATACAGCAATTCCTCAGTAACTTTATTTAAACACTGGTGCACTTTATTCTGATATTTTGATGCTCAATCATGACTTTGAAACAATAGTGTAATTTCAACCATCACTTAAACCCTTACAAGTAACAACTCAAATTTACTTGACAAAGGACTAAGAAAAAGAGTATATGCAATGCTTATGTTAACTTGTATATTTGTTTTCGCGTATTTATACCTAAATAATTAATTTCTACAAGTGGCAGCTTTAAGTAAATGGTATGTGAGATGGAACAAGTCAACAAATTGATTGCGAATACCACTCACTTGGATTATCAGTTTAGATTGACCAATTTAAGTGGACATTCAAAAATGTACAATTAACGATTGCAACCGATCTCACAATTTTAGTGATATAAAAAGTATGTATATTTTCTTTCCCTTAATGATAATTAAACATCTATGCCCCAAAAAACTACAAATATTTAAAGAGAATGGCACAATATAGTAACTTCATTAGCAATGATAGACCTCCTTTGAAGAAGGCTTGCTTAAGATTTATATAAAAAATAAAAATAAAAACTGTCCCTTACAGGTTCATCTTCTTGCTAAGACAAGGAAATGTAGAATGAAAAAGCACTTCTATCTCCAACCACACCGAAGTTTCTTGTAGGAAAACAAAGGAAGAACGTATTCAACAAACTTAGATATTTTTTAATCATAAAGTTATTCAAGTCAGCTACATATGGTTTTCAAAAAGAACATAAAAAATTGAAGGCCAGCCTAAAACCTTGCCAATAATATTAATGTCACCCCTTATTTTCCTTGAATTTATTTTCCATTATGTTAATGAATTAAGCAAATCCAAAAGCTTCTGAAAAAACACCCTAAGGCTGCTCCCATCTAACTGTTATAAGCCTATGACAATTCTTTCATAGATTTTGTGTATTAGAAGCAAGGTTCTGAAAAGCGGTTGCGGTCGCCGTAACGGTGGCGGTGACGCGGTTGCGGTTGCGGGGTGTAAAGGCCGTAGTGTAACGGTTGCGGTAACCAAAAGCTTCTGAAAAAACACCCTAAGGCTGCTCCCATCTAACTGTTATAAGCCTATGACAATTCTTTCATAGATTCTGTGTATTAGAAGAAAAGTTTCAAAATCTCTACTAAGAACCGAACTTAAAACTTAGGGACCCACCCATTTGCTCAAATACACTTACTAACCTTAAGTTGACCTTATCAACAGTGGTGCCAACAATAATTCTAAAATGTACATCAACATTAATGTACATTTTAGAACTGAAGTATCAGAGATTGCACAAAAATGCTATGTATATATCTACCTCAAACAGAAAGAACACAAGGTAAATATGTTGTCCTCTTCAGCCATTGTTTTTCAGTTTTTTGTTGATTTATTGGCAGGCGGGGGAACATAGACCATTGGCATTTTCATCATTACTGTCCAGTCTTCAACACAATAAGTTTACAAAAGTTAAACAAAATTGTCTACTGAAGATTGTCAAAGACTGAAATTATTAAATCTGTATACTATTTCCAGTGAATTTGGAACAGGCTCAAGCACGTATCCCATTTCTGCCATGTCATGCAGGTAAAATAGTATAGAAACAAAACAAAGCATCAAACCATGTTAGAGCTATGACATTTCAGCATGAAATCTTGATCTACTCAAACTAGTTGATAGCAAATCAAATATAATAAAGAAGCGATCTATATTTCTCCGTCACCATTGGACATATCATTTAAAAAAAAAAAGGGTCAAAAGTTCCTCCACAGTAAAACTTGAAATGACAGTTACCTGACTCCAGCTACCAGGCGCTGCACATAGATCCACCACATGCTTCACTCCTGCAAATAATATTTGTATCAACCAAACAGCAAGAGGTGAGAAGGTTTATGGAATCATAACCAAGAAAATGGAACCACAGATGAATAGATAACAGAAAAAAAAAAAATATTAGAAAATAAGTTTCCATGGTTTCCTATTGATGAAAAATACAAAATTAAAGTCTACATTTTGCACTAAGTGAAAATATTTTGCTGTTATCCTTAATAAAATATTCTCTTAGAAGAAAAGGAAGACATTATTTATCATTTTGAGAAACTACTTTTAACTTAATAAAGCATAATCAGTCCCCGTTTGTAGTAAAACTGCACCAGGGAATTCCTTCATAATGTAAAACAATTGGAGAAAAAAAAGAACGGACAATGTTTGATCCAGCTAATAAAAAGAGCCCAGTCCCTAATAATTTAATACCCCGCCATATTAAGGATGGAAATAAATCAACCTTAGTAAGATTAGTGTACTACCTTCAAATATGTTGAATTCTTCATCAATTTGAAGGAGCTTGAAGGCACTTCGAGCACGCCAACCCTCTTCTTTTGCTTTTCGGTAGTAGATATCCTGTGAGCAAATCCACCCATTATTAGAAGTCGAACATCAGACAGCCCCAGAAATGGTAAAAAAGAAATTCAAACATAAACAAACAAACTCACCCTCTTATCCCTTGATGCTTTGCCCATGTTGAAAATACCTGATTGTCTCGAGGTAGTAAACCTAAACTATAAGACCAATATTTGTACCAAAAAATAACAATAGGGCGGAACACAATGCTGTGACAAAGCAAGCGCAATTCTTCACTTCCTTTGGATCAATCATAGTTTGTGAAGGAATAATAAGAGCACGGGCCACAAAAACTGAAGAATTTAGATTTCCCAATCAGAAAGATGTTTAGCAAGAAAATGACGTAAAGAATAAAGTATGTTATCCTCCTTTCCTCTCTTTCAAACATGAGATATTTTCTCTCTCTCTCTCTCTCTCTCTCTCTCTCTCTCTCTCACACACACACACACACACACACACACACACACACACACACACACACACACACACACACACACACACACACACACACACACACACACACACACACACACACACACACACACACACACACACACACACACACACACACACACACACACACACACACACACACACACACACACACACACACACACACACACACACACACACACACACACACACACACACACACACACACACACACACACACACACACACACACACACACACACACACACACACACACACACACACACACACACACACACACACACACACACACACACACACACACACACACACACACACACACACACACACACACACACACACACACACACACACACACACACACACACACACACACACACACACACACACACACACACACACACACACACACACACACACACACACACACACACACACACACACACACACACACACACACACACACACACACACACACACACACACACACACACACACACACACACACACACACACACACACACACACACACACACACACACACACACACACACACACACACACACACACACACACACACACACACACACACACACACACACACACACACACACACACACACACACACACACACACACACACACACACACACACACACACACACACACACACACACACACACACACACACACACACACACACACACACACACACACACACACACACACACACACACACACACACACACACACACACACACACACACACACACACACACACACACACACACACACACACACACACACACACACACACACACACACACACACACACACACACACACACACACACACACACACACACACACACACACACACACACACACACACACACACACACACACACACACACACACACACACACACACACACACACACACACACACACACACACACACACACACACACACACACACACACACACACACACACACACACACACACACACACACACACACACACACACACACACACACACACACACACACACACACACACACACACACACACACACACACACACACACACACACACACACACACACACACACACACACACACACACACACACACACACACACACACACACACACACACACACACACACACACACACACACACACACACACACACACACACACACACACACACACACACACACACACACACACACACACACACACACACACACACACACACACACACACACACACACACACACACACACACACACACACACACACACACACACACACACACACACACACACACACACACACACACACACACACACACACACACACACACACACACACACACACACACACACACACACACACACACACACACACACACACACACACACACACACACACACACACACACACACACACACACACACACACACACACACACACACACACACACACACACACACACACACACACACACACACACACACACACACACACACACACACACACACACACACACACACACACACACACACACACACACACACACACACACACACACACACACACACACACACACACACACACACACACACACACACACACACACACACACACACACACACACACACACACACACACACACACACACACACACACACACACACACACACACACACACACACACACACACACACACACACACACACACACACACACACACACACACACACACACACACACACACACACACACACACACACACACACACACACACACACACACACACACACACACACACACACACACACACACGCGCGCTTGGGGGTGTGTGGTTGGGTTGGGCTTCTAATCTTTTTGGGCCAAAAACATTTGAATTTTATTTTATTTTTTATTAAAATAAAATTCAGAATTCAATAAACTGGTTTGGATTTATTGTTTATCCAAACAGGGCCCTTCCCGTCTTCAAACAGAATTAAACTGTTTTGGATTTCATCCAAACAGAGCCCTTCCCGTTTTCAAACAGAATTAAACAGTTTTGGATTTATTGTTCATCCAAACAGGGCCCTTCCCGTTTCTATCTGTTTGAATAAACAGATTCAAATCTGTTTAAATTTGAATCTAACAGGTTTCATACCTGTTCAATTCAAAACGAAAAGCCACCTTAACATCTATAAATAGACTAGCCTCCCATTTGGATTTTACTCAGATTTTTCGTACTCCATCCTCTGCAAATTATATTCTTCATCTTGCTGCATTTTATTTCCGAAAGAAATAGTGTAAACACTTAGTGTGTTCGTAAGGCAAACAATTTGTAGTGCTGCTATTGTTTGTGGTAAGATCATTTCATCCTGGGAGATAGACGTCCAAATTCTGAAAGCACCGTAGAGAGGACGAATCTGTCTTAAGGACACAGTGTTAAACACTGGACTTGATCAGAAAAGTTATTCAAATAAATTAACCAAGTAAGTTGTTTAATTTATTATATATTATTCTATATTATAGATTTGTCGTTCAAATTTTATAATGATTTCTATATATGAAACATGCTTCATTTGTTACATTATTTTATATAATCACAACTCACATAGGGAAAAACTTGCACAACATATTCTCGAAAAACTTCTAAAGCTTGGATTTACTATTTGAATTACTTTTTTAATTGTTGAACAGTAAATTCTTTTATATTTTGACATTATATTACAAATGATTAATCATTTCACATGCTGAGATATATTTATCGTTTGGATGTTTTCATTATTTTTTCTTTTTTGATTTAGATGTTGTTATGTGATTCTTTCTTAATTAGTCGTTATTGAATTTCTTTTATACAGTTGATATTTACAACACTGCACTGTCCATTAAAACTGAAACAAAAAACAACAAAAAAAATCAAAAAAAAAAAAAAAGAGGAAAGAGAAAGATAGACAAAAAAAGAGATGGAAAGAGAAAGAGATAGAGATAAAAAAAGAGAGAGAAACAAGAGATAAGCGAGAGATAGACAAAAAAAGAGAGAAAATGAAATCTAACCAAATAAGAAGGAGAGAAATTACAATCATTTCTTTTCTTTTCTTTTCTCTTATTACTTAAGTAATCATTTCTTTTCTTTTCTCTCCTAAGTTACCAAACATAGCGTAAAAGTGGAGAGATTGGGAAAGAAAAGAAACTCACAAATATTTATTATTTCATAATACCAATTTTACCCCTGTAAAAATAAAAGAAACAAAATAATTGACACCCATATCCACAAGGCTTTTCATATCCAGCACAAATATAAAAAGGTTATTTTAATAATATAACATAAAACAGTTTCTTTTCTTTCCTCTTATGAAATCTAACCAAATAAGAAGGAGAGAAATCACAATCATTTCTTTTCTTTTATTTTTTACTTATCCAAACAAGAAGGAGAGAAATTACAATAATTTCTTTTCTTTTCTTTTCTTTTCTTTTCTTTTATTACTTAAGTAACCATTTCTTTTCTTTTCCTTCCTAGGTTCCCAAACATAGCGCAAGTGCTTGAAGAACCCTTCCCCTTCACCTGTATCTGACCAAGCGTTTATTTTTTTTTTTATTTTTGGATAAGTGGCACCACAATATTGGGCTTTGGCGCCTCAAATTTTTTGGGCATACTATTCACGACACATATGGTAAGCCGTAAAAGCTGATTTATTTTTACCGACCGGCATACGCATGTCGTATATAATTGATGTATTAACGGCATGTCATATGCATATCATAGAAAGTTTTATTATTTATAATTAATATTATAAGTCGTAAAAAAATTATCATTTTTACCATTAACGGCATGCACAATAGACGTGCCGTGGTTAGTATATTATTTACGACATGCAAAAAAAAATAAGTCATAAAAGTGAGAAATTACGGCTTGCATTCATTGTATGTCGTTGATGTGGTGCCATAAAAAGTCAATTTTATTGTAGTGTCTGTCACCATTGGGTGTGGGGAGGATGGCCAAAAAGAGACATTTAAGGGGAAGGAAAAACAGTAATTTGGTTTTCAATGAATAAAATGATGACAGAGCAACACCAATTGGACAAGGATGAGAATGAAGCTCCAACTCCACCCTTGCAAATTGAACTTGAAGCATTGTTATTATTTGAAACTGTTCAGCAGCAACAACAACAAGAAGTCATTATAATTCCACATTTATAGAATATAATTTCTAAATTAGAATGGTACATCACCTCACATGAGGCATAGCAGAGTTACCTGGACAAGTGAAGTCTTGGGCAAGGATTGTTAGGATGGTTTGGTTAGTGTAACCGGCATAGGCACAAGTCATGCGATTACAACCCGAAGATGTGGTGTTTCCCAGGTGTGAATTTTCTTCACCTTGGCATTGCATAGAAGGGCAAGTTGTCCAGATGGATGAATTAAGTTGGGACGACTTACATTGTAATCTAAGGACATGACATGAGCAAGAAAAAAATGACGTATTATCATATTTTGGAAGAAATGACAAGTTAACAAAGACGAGAAATTAAGGGTTGGTTTGGGATGTTCTAAAAAAGTGCGCTTTTTGACTTATTGGCTTATATGGGTTGGGTTTGGGTTAGGTTTAATGTGATGTGTTAGAGAGGTGATATGATTTAAATAAGATGATGTGACTTAAATAGGATAGTGACTTTTTGACTTTTTGTATTATTTAGGTCATGCCAAACTTGGCCTAAATTTACAAGTAATGAGATTAGTTCTTCTGCGTGCGCACAAAATTCGATCACAGTTGTGCCTAGATCTATGATCAAATTTTGTGCACTTAAAATTATCGGTAATGGGACACTTACGTCCAATTGTTTGAAGCATCGCAGTTGCACATCACACAATTGCCGGTAGTGAGGGTGTAAGTGCTATTACTGACAAGTTTTATAGAATGGCTATTAGACCAGTGATGTTGTATAGGACGAGATATTAAGAAACTAAGTAACAACATTTAGATAATAAAAGTGTCAATGAAAATAATATATAAGTGGCATTTTGTAGTAGTGATAGTAGCTTTGCAAAGTGTCACTAAAATAAGTTCCAATGGCACTTATATCTATTTAATGGCACAAATGAATTGGATTTAGTGACATTTATGAAGGTGTTATAAATATCAATTGTGGCACAATAAGCGTCATTAAAAATCTATATCGTGGCATTTTTTAGATTGCAAGTCTTTTTTCATGGCACTTGATAGCGTCACGAATAGTGCCTACCATGGCATTAAAGTGTCACTGAAATGTTTTAGTCTTGATGGTGTAATGACACTTATAAGTGTCACTAACTCTTTTTTTAATGGCGCTTGATAGTGCCACAAATAATATCTGCCATGACATTAAAATGTCATTAAAAGTTTTTAGCCATGATGGTGCAGTGACACTTGCAAGTATCTACCGTGGCACTAGTATCTACCCTGACACGGATACAAATGGCACTTGTTCAAAATGTCACAAGACTAAAAAATGTCATTAAACTAATAGTTTTGTGACACTTTCAAATGTCACTAAACTAAGAAAATATTACAGTGGAAGGTTGAGAAACTTCCTCCTAATGTAGTAGTTAATAGTATTTTTCATGTTGGAAAATTATTCAACATTTTCGGAGTACTATCATGATAAGGTCGTACAAAACAAGAAAAAAAAAATCCCAGGGAAACAGATAGAGATTTTCGTTATTTGTAAATTTAATTGCTCAATGAAGCCGAACAACAAGAGGAATTACAGCAAACTATAGTGTTCATCCAATGGTTAAGGAAAGTATTCAGAAATTTTTTTACCGAAGTACAAAGGAAGCAATATTGTTTATGCATAGAGCGTAGTTTACATATTTATTTATTTTTTTTATTTTTATCAGTAAAAAAAAAAAAAAACTTTATTAATGAAAAGTATACATACATATCACAAACATGGGGTAGCCATTTCAGAACAGTATGTAGTTTTGAACAACATAACAGTATGAATTACATAACGAAAAAACTAAAACAAAGTAACCAAGAAAAAATAGTGCACGTAAGGCTATAAAGCAGAACTGGTTTTTGCTTCTCTGAAATATTATCCCATTCAGTTGCTCTTTTCTGTGATTTTGATATGAAGGCCATCAACAAAATCCAAAACGGGTCTCCGAGAAATATTTCCTCCCTTGACTTTTGTCCAACTGTATATCCAAAATAAAATCACAAATTAAGTTGAAAACAAATACTACTCTTTGTTAACAAGCTTGCGTAACACAAGTAGAAATTAAAAACGAAAAAACAAAGAAGAGAAGCAAAAAGAAAAAATGTTTTACCTATACTTGGTGACCAATACATGTAGAAAGGTGCATGCAAACGCCCTAGCGTAATCTGCTCCTGCACATTGTCTCGTCCCCCCTCCAAAAGGCATAAAATTCTTTGATATCACAGTTGGATCAAGGTCCTATTTTCCAATAATTAAGGTGCAATGTCAATACTTGTCAATGCCCTCTTTTAATGATGGGCAAATTATATTAATGGTGCCTATAGTTTGAAACTTGTGTCACTTTGATCCTTAACTTTTTAATTGTGACACATTGAATCCTAAATTTTGAATCTTGTTCCAAATAAGGACAGTTGAAAATACAAAAAAGGGTAAAATCGTCAATTTGATAAAAATATAAACTAATTTGACAAAAATAAATGTCAAAAAAATATTTTTAAATTTTTAAAAATTATTTGTACCCACTAAAGATAAAATTATGTAAAATTAATAAATCTTTTACACATTTATTTAATTTTATTTTTACCAAATTAATTTTTATTATGTGTTTGGATGATGACAATGTAATGGATAGTTGCTAAGCTTTTAATGTGCAATCGATATATTTAATATATAAAATGTTTTTAGTTTTGAATTTTTTGATTTAATGGATTGGTTTGATAATGATATCAAAGTTATCGCCACATATGACTTTTGGAAAAACAGAAACTAATTTAATGAAAATAAAAACAACCGTCCATTACATGATCATCATCCAAACACGTAATAAAAATTACTTTGATAAAAATATATAAATAAATGTGTAAAAGATTTATCAGTTTTACATAATTTTATTTTTGGTGATTAGAAATAATTATTAAAAATTTAAAAATATTTTTTGACATTTATTTTTATCAAATTAGTTTATATTTTATCAAATTGGAGACTTTGTCCTTGAAATTGAGCAATGGTATCTTCAATTGTCCTTATTTGAAATAAAATTCAAAATTCAAGTTCAAACGTGTCACACATGAAAAGTCAAGGACCACACAAGTCCCAAACTATAAGGACTGTTAGTAGAATTCACCCTTTAATGGACAATATCACTATTTTAAACATTAGAACAATTAAGGCATCAAAATGATGTGCAGCAGTGAAAATTTTAAAATCACTCATGCGATCCCTTCCTGAAACCAAAAAATAAAAAAATAAATTTTTTTTTTAAAAGCTCAAGATGCACCTTCCAACGTGATGGATTAAATTTAACTGGATTCTTAAAAGCTTCTGGATTCAGTTGATGAGCAGAAGTAACAATCATAATGGCCCAGCCCGCTGGAACTGTATATCCTGTTAAGTTTTTAAGCAATAAATATTTCAAATTCTATTATATGGACCTTATATTTGTAATAAAAAATATAGATGTGGAGCTAATTGATGTTATTATGATGGAATTTATAATACATACCATTGAATTTGATATCTTTTGTTACTCTTCTTAACAACCCTGGAACTGCATTTCCCAACCTAAGAACTTCGTTCACAACCTGCAATTTCACATATTAATAAGAAATACACATCATTAGTAAAGTAAGAATAAAATTTCAATTAATTAATGCTTTTGAGGCAGAAAACAAAATAAATTGAGATCATCGTACAAACGTACATTAAGTGTAAAAGTCATCGATTTATATTCTTCCCATGAAAGTGGAGAATTTGGATTCTTCCTATTTCTAATGATTGCTTCATTTTCAGCCTGATAAAAGTAAACAATCATTAATATCACAAATTTATATGCATGGAGAGTTCTGCTAAATCATTTATCAACCAAAATTGAAAAAGCAATCAACAATCGTGTCAATTAGTTAAAATTTAGGAGTGCGAACGTACTGTTAGCTCCTCCAAAATCGAAGGATGCTCTGAGAGTAACTTCAAACTCAATAGTATAACTGAAGTGATGGGCTCATAGTTCGCAAATAAAATTCCAAACATAAAGTTGGATAGGAAATCGGGAGTCACAAACTTCCGAGTTTTCAAGTCTTCCATGACTGTATCAAGAAAGTCCATTTGAATCTTGTTAGGGGAATTCATTCTCTCCACTATGGCATCCCTCATTATGCTTAGCATCTCCTTTCGGTCCTGAATATTGAACAAGATAAAAACACATGTATAAAACTTGGGAACTATCTCTCAATACATACATAAATCTCTTCAAAAACAAAGTCATAATTTCTCTTTGAGCTACTACCTTTACTGTTTGGTGGAATGTAGTACCGGGAATGTCTAAGGGAAGGCACAAAAGACTGTGTAATAAGCTGGAATCTCTTCAAAAACAAAGTCATAATTTCTCTTTGAGCTACTACCTTCACTGTTTGGTGGAATGTAGTACCGGGAATGTCTAAGGGAAGGCAGAAAAGACCGTGTAATAAGCTAGAAAATCTCTTACTTAGCGGTTTCTCAGATGATTTTTCCCAATCATAGCTAATCAACTGCTTCAATGTGAAGTCAAAAATCATCTGTAATGACCAAATAGCGATAAATGAAATTAAGCACCATAAATTAAGGCTGATTAATCAAGGATCAAATTAATGAGCTTGAATTTTTATTTTTTCCGTACACTTGCAGCGTCATGTTTGACATCAACAATTTGGTTAGTAGACCAATGACGTAGAGTTGTCTGAATGACTTGTTCGATTTGAGAGAGCAAATTCACTCTGATGCCCTCAACGCCAAACCGACTCAAAGTAGTGTTTCTTATGTACTTTTGAACATTGCCCACTGCATATATCGGCAACATGCTTGTGAACGTATCCAAGTACCATAGTTCAATCGATTTCCCTTCTTCCGTAAGGATGTAATGATTGAATTTTGGATCGGTTGTTACTACTACCGGTTTACCCGCTATATTAGTTCGAAACACCGACCCATATCTACACACAATCAGAAAAACAAAAGACAACAAATAATTACACTTTAATAATGAAATAAATAAATAGAAAACTTGTTTACAAACTGTTTCTGAAAACCCTTTTCTTTTCTTTTTTTCCAAATTTAATTATGTATGCTACCTCTGGACTCTCTTAGAAATGAAGGGATGGAGTTCTAATGATCGGCTGGGAATAAGGAGCTGAATGGTCTCTCCGATGAGAGGGAGGCCCATGGAACCCGGTGGAAGAACACCATTTTCGCATTTGGGATTCCTCCATTTGCGAACCCAATGAGTTATGAATATGGTAACCAATGCTACCACGAAGGTGCTCAAAACTACTCCTAGTGACAACATGTTTTTCTCTCAATAGAAGAAAAGGAGCAATATGGGATGATATATTACTCTTATTCTTGGATAAGGGGTGATGGGGTTGTTGTGTCCTGCATGTCTATTTATAGAAGCAGCAGTTGTAATTTAGCAACTAGCAAGTATTAAACTTTTCTATCGATCTACATTCACGTGGCACAAAAGTCATTTTTTAAAACTTAAATATGTCTCTCTTCTTTTTCTTTTTATTTCTTATTCTTGGATAAGGGGTGATGGGGTTGTTGTGTCCTGCATGTCTATTTATAGAAGCAGCAGTCGTAATTTAGCAACTAGCAAGTATTAAACTTTTCTATCGATCTACATTCACATGGCACAAAAGTCATTTTTTTAAACTTAAATATATCTCTCTTCTTTTTCTTTTTCTTTTTATTTACGTTATCCAATTGGCTCATATCCGTTATTTTATTAAGGAGTTTTTAATTTTTTACGAAGAGATAATAAAAAAATAATATGACTCAAATAAAACTAATTATTTAAATAAGTGTATTTATATAGGTTATACCAAACAAAGCCTAAACAATAGTGCTATAATTATAGAATTAATACATTAAAAAAATACACAAAAAGTACATTGTGTAACTTAAATTTATTTTAAATATAAATTATACAACACTTAAAATAAATCTCAATTACACATTATACTTTCTTTACAATTTTGTTTTACTTTTGTGTATATATCATTTGTCTTTGTCAATTTTTTAGTCAAAAAAAAGCAAAAAATACACTTATTTAGGACATCCCAAACAACTCATTATTAATGCAAGAGGCAAGTTTTAAATGACAATAGGCCTGTTTGGTTGGGCTTATAAGCTGCTTATTTCAATTTTTAGCTTAATTTAAGCTAAAATATTATATTTGGTGCAATTTAAGTTAGCCAGCTTATAGCTTAAATTAAGCTATTTCTCAGCTTATCTCAAAAGCTGGTCAAGGAGTGCTTAAATTTTTGACTTAAGCGCGCAGTTAGTGTGGGGGGCTAAAATTACTTAAATGCCTTCGTCAATACCCAAATATTAATATTAATTAAAAAAGAAAAAATTGTATATTTCTGAAAAAAAAGAAAAAAATCAATATTAATTGGTATTAATTATTAATAAATTAATATTGTGTACTTTTGTAATGAATTAATTATTAATTGATACTAATTAATAACAATTGTTGATTGTTAATATTAATTGATACTAATAAAAATTAATTATTAATATTAATTGATACTAATTAATAATTTTAGTTCATATTAATTTATACTAATTAATAA